ATTTTTTTAATTTAGAAAAATAAAACTCTGCAAGAACAAAGGGAAACCAAAAATATGTCAAAGAGCATTAAGCACATTCACTGAAGACAGAATACTGACTTACAGGGAAAACAGAAAGCCAAAGGTCACATGGCAACATTTCACTGCAGGGTTCACGCCTTTTCTTTTATTCAGCTTTTCCCAACTACCTGCCCCACCCCCGGATGCTTTGGACTGCAATTCCCATCAACCCCAGCCAGCATGGCCAACAGTCAGGAATGTGCAGCACCAAAACATCTGGAGGGCACCAGGTTGGAGAAGGCCAGATATATGCAAGCTAAGCTGATTCAAATACGTTGGGTGACCATGCTAGGACTGAATGCTTATGAATAAAATCAGGTGAAAAATATGCACAGTATGAATAAAGAGTACCATTTCAGACATAAGAAAGTGTTCTAGTTCCTCTGTACTTCAGGTTTTCATTTGACCATCACCGTTACCATCAGAAGCACAAACACACCAGCGATTACAGTGGCTTTCTGTTCTGGATACAAGAAAAGCTGGACATGCATATTCACAGTTGCTGCCAACGCTCCAGTTTCGAAATGGCACAGACAGTTGCACAAACTCGAGAACAGAACTGGCATGTGTTTTGAAAGGAAGTAGAAAATGTGTCGTTCTTTAGAGGCAGGGTTTATCTTAGAAAAACCTATATAGATTAGATTTTACCTAATGCTACGTAAGACGATTACAGCTATTTGCAGCACATTAATTCCTCGTCAGAACAAAATGATGTTTTATAGAGATGGTTCCGTGCAAACATGCGCACTCAGTCATGCACGCATGCGCCTGCCCTCCTCCTCTGTTCCCATTCCTGAGCAGAGTTCCCTAAGCTGAAAAACCATGCACTTTTCTTCATGATCAAGCAAAAACGGGGGAGAACCTGGAGGAAGTGTCTCCAAACAAAATAATGCCAGCTCATTCTTCTACAGAGACAATGTAGTTTAGCAGCTTAGCCGCTGCACCCCAGACTAAGAACCTCGCAGTTTGAAGCTCGTCTGTCACAAACTTTCCTCCAACTGCCCCATCCCTCTTTCCTTTCATGTCTTTCTTGTAAGTCTAAAGCGGGCAGACTTGTTTTTCTTATTGATTGTAAGCCACTCCAGTTAAAATCTGGAATGAGAAGTAGAATGAACAGCTTTAAAGAAAGGTATACATGAATATCCAGCAGCTGGCCAAAGCAGCCCTGCGAACCAAGCCGCTCTTTCCAAACCTCAGCTGTAATATAGCAGACAATTTCACTGACTTACTTTACAGCAGGGGAGGAAAACCTTCAGCCTGTGGCCTAAGGCAGGCTAGCAGGGATCCCGGTCCAGCTGGTGGAACTTCCCCCATCTCTGCCCCCTAGCCAACCTCCCTTGCCCTCCTTAAATTTGTAGGGTGATGGAATAGTTTGCTGTTGTTTCCTAGTGATGTTTCTCCAATCTTTTGGCTTTAGGGCAGGGTTAGAAATTCCTGATTCTATTTCTGTTGTTTTGTATTATGTTTTAAAGCATATTTTTAATAAGGAATACACTGAGAACAAAACTATTGGCAAGTAGTTGCTTACCAGGAAAGTTCAAAACAGCAACAGCTCTGAGTCAAATCTCCCTATCCCAAAATACATCAAAAAAGAGGGGAAATCCATTACTCATCCAGTAATACTAGTGGTGTGCTAGTATGTTACACAAATCAATACCTAGAAACAGAGTGAGTTTGAAGGGGTCTCCTGGGCTAACCAGTCTGACCCCTGGCTCCAGCTGGCTCCACCGATGGCATGCCTACCATGTGTGTGTCATAAATAAATCATCACATTATAGTACCTTTCTGTACTGCCCATAGCTGAAGCTATCTGGATGGTTCACAACATTTTAGGCCACCCATCCAGGTTTCAGCCAGGCCTGACACTGCTTAGTTTCCAAGATTAGGCAGGATCAGGTACTTCAGGCTAAACAGAAGCCTTGATCCTTCTCGATACACCTCAGAAAGCACTCCATGGCAATGTCGTGGGGAGTACATGCTGTCAAAATGCAGCAAGTACCAACCTTTGACATTGATGCAAAGTGGCTCCAAATGGTGGGTTTTTTTTTAATTTAGTTTTCTTCAATGTGACAGCTGTCAAAGGTGAGCTGCCAAATCAAAGCAAATCCACAGCTGATCTTTGCTCACAAAAGAGGGTCGGTAACACTGTTCCTCCTTTGCAGCAAGATCTTCAAGGTTCTGAGGTCCCAGTGCCCAAAACCGATCCACCCATTCCCAAGATGCTTGGATGGAAGATGGAAAAGTGCACCCCCCTTTTGCATCATTACCTGCTTTTGACAGCTGTCCAATGTGCGGGTTTCTTTGAAAGCCAGGTGTTTTAGACAGGGAAGTATACATATGTGTACTCCTGCCTTCAAGTCCAGGTTGTGACCTTTACACAGAACCTGATTAGCTGCTCTAAAAAATAGCTAAACAAGATGGACCACTGGTCTGATCCAGCTCTTCTCATAAAACACCTGGGATTTGTGGAGTTCAAACAATTAGAACTCATGAAGCCCAGTTGGTGTATCTCCCTTTCCTTCCCAATGTCTTTTATTTTCCTTTGTTTGTTTAAGTAGCCATTTAGGCCATTTTAAAAAATTGGCTTTTATTGAGCAAAAAAAATTTGGGGTTAATCTTCTTGTCCTGTTGTGTGTGTTATCATCAGGTTTTAGCTTTTTGTAGTTTTTAAATTTTGCAATTCACTGGAAAAAATATTACAGAGAGATTAAAAAGAGCTCTATGTAAAATTCTGAGTCAAAATTTGCAAAAGGACAGACTTTCTTCCTTCCAAGTAAATCAGAAAAGCAAAGCAGCAGAAATGTGTGACATTTTAATGCATGGATAAATATGAGGCAGCCTGTCAAAGCTGGTTCTAAACAGATGTCTGAAGTGTGATTATTTTAAAAAATTACATAACAAAACCTGATTATTGATTATGTAACAGCATCACTTCACAGCCTTCCAATACACTCAATCACTTTGTAGTATCAGTGGATCTAAAGCCATCAAAAGAGCAAAGCAATTTTATAATGAGAGATTATGCATGTTTTACCATTCCAAAACCTTCTTAATAAAATCAAAAGTATCATGGGAATGGAGAAAGGTCATCCCAAGTCAATGGAAAACATCAATGCACAATCACTTACGAAATTACATTTCTCTCCCTGAGCCAGTTGAGGTAACAGGCAAACGCTTTCATATGTTTATAGCTGTACAGTGGCCAGTTTGAGTGATCATATCTTGCCTCATTAAGCCAAGAGATGCATAGGCTCTTTGCTCAAGCCATAAGGATTCCAGAAAAGCTCTAATTAACCATGATTTCCCATTTTGTCCAGACTAGGATGTGGTGATTGCTAGCTTTGGAATCAGCAAAGATACTAAATCAACTTCAAATCATAGTTTAATATCCTGACTTGATATCCAGCCACAGTTTCCAATTTTGAAAAAAAGGGGACTGTGGTTTGAGACTTTCTAGTTCGATTGCTGCAAATCACAAAAGGAGGAATGAAAGGGGCTATCTTGTGTGCATCTTGGCTCAATAAGCTAGGATATGATCATGGGCATTATTGTAGCAGCAGCATAATGGCAGACATCTTGCTTTTCCATTTTGTGTACAATTTCTTCGCACTGAGAGAAAAATCCAAAGCATAGTTCCATTAGAAAAAGAAATGAAACATCAGACGCAAGCGTATTGAAAACAATGATTTCTAGCCAATTATATTGCCGGCTTTTCCCTAAAGACAAGACATGCAACAACTGGAGTGTTGCCAGGATCAGACCCTATAGAGCTGGTCATCTTCTGCCTCCAAGATTAAAGTCACTGCAGGAATTTAAGGATTCAAATTCTTGTGAGCAGAACGGAAGCAAGGTTTCTACAGAAACCTTCTCAAGTGCCAAGCATCCCCTCGGACATGCCCTGATTCTTCATGAGCAAAATTCTACAAGAAAAGGAAAGATGGAGCAGTGGGGTGCTCTGGATCCAACACAGCATCACTTCCTAGCTGTCAACCAACCAACCCTTCACATGCTCATTTATGCCAAGTAGAAAGCCTCAGAGCATCCAATTTTCACACCGCAGATGGAAAATTGTTTTATTGGGACCAACCGAGATCCAGGAACATATGCAAGCTTTCACGTTCTCCAGAACTCTTCATTGGCCTAGGAAGTACAAAAGGGAAGGGCTAGGAAGAGAAAGAGTAGAATCCTCCCAGAGATTTTGGGATTTCTCTCCACATCACCAGCAGGAAAAGACATTCATGAAGGTCTAAGAGACCACCTGCAGCTTACTGCTGTACCATCTTCAAGGTAAATTTCTGCATCACATAGATCAGGCAGTGGGTGCTGCGGGAATGTGTCAAGGGTTCAGCTGCACTATTTGAAACACTGATATTTTCAGGGAAAGCACCCATCCTGTTCAAGGTTTACTCTCTATACAGAGGCAGCACAATCACTGTAAAATGATAATCACTGTAATTGAAATCCCCTTTGAGGGACAAATATGAAAAAAAGTTGGAATCTGTGATTGAATCTTTCATTTCTTTAAATTTTTGGCAAACAGGAGCTGTGGAGGGCCGCAAATCATACTGACACCATAGTTCCGCTTGTACAGGGGCTAACCTTGCCCTTTTCCCAATGAGCTTACATTTTCCCAAAGATCAAAGGAAACTGAGTGGTTTCTATAAGAACACAAATTGCAGCTGTAGCATAAGCAGTGCTTCAATCAGGAAAGTGGCAAATAGAAAAGAGTTACTCCCTATATGATTAGAAAATAGAAATATAACTATCCCAGTTAATAAACTTAGCTGGACACAAAGCATTTAACATGTACATGGAACATTTCCACATCACAGCAACAGTTTATCTGACCCCTTACTAAGCCAATAATGTAAACAATCTGTAATTCATAATTTTTAGCATCATAGCAATCATGTATTATAAGCATAACTAGTGCGACATACCTAGCAGTGCCTGGAACAAACTGCTTTTGAAGATGCCCATCACCTTCTTAATGGCCTTTTTCAGTTGTTGCTCCTCTGGCTTTTTTAGCTTCTTACAATAATCTTCCAGAAGTGCTAAAGCTCGATCAGTGTCTACAATGAATAACATTATAAAATGAATTAACCAGCTGCAAAAGTTGACACACAAAACAGCTCAGTAGTAGAACAGTAACTTCAAGAATTTAAGTTTCCTTTACCCTCCTCATCTGCTTTTCCTTTCGTGTTGACTTTCTGATTATATGTGTGCAGACAGAAACTGCCTTGTCTGTCAAATAAGCCATGTGTTGCAGGTGAAAGTTCTCCAATCCAGTCCCCAGAAAAAAAAAGATTGAGGTAGCAGGACTCAGAAAGGGCCATGCCTAACCCTCTGAAAAGTCAGTCTCCCCTTAAAGGACCAAATACAATGCAGTACAATGCAGGCCTCATATGTTCACACACCCATAACTTAGTAGATTCCATGCTGGTTCTAGCCTTGGTCTGTGAAATGCCACTCTTTTGGATCTGTGTGGCTTGCAATAGAGATCATAAGCCATAGAAATAAAACACTCCAAAATTATCTTCAAAAAGAAAACATACAATGAACAGTAGCATAAAAGCAAGCAGTAATGCAAAGGAATTATGTATCTACAGGTCAAGGACTGCTTTTAAAGGAAGTTCTTTTTGCACAGCTGAAAAGTCATCGGCAGGGGAACAAAGCCATCTACACTTCTGGATGATATTCTACAGTCTAGGGGCAGCCACCAAGGAGGCCCAGTCTTGCATTCCCAGCAACTATGCTTCTGGGGTATGAGGAACACGCAGAAAGGTCTCTCCAGAGTAGCTTAACATCCCAGTAGGCTCTTGTGAGAGCATGTGGTCCATCAGAGGGGGGGAAGCTCAGTGGCAGAGCAATTCCGGTACAGGCAGAAGGCTGCAGGTTCAACCACAGCTTCTCCAGCTAAGGCAGGGAAAACTGCTGTCTGAAGCCCCAGAGATCTGATGCCAGCCTGAGCCAGCAAGACCAGGACAGATCTTGCAGTATGCAGGATCCTATATTCCTCAGTCATTCGCACTTAGTTCTTGGTAGCATCCTGGTTCCAAGCTCTAAGGCCGCAGTCCTATGCACACATTTCCTAGCTCCTTCAAACAGACTAGAATGCCCAAGTGCACTTGCAAGGGGTGTGCTATCGCGGTCAAAACCTGCACCTCGGATTAGATCTGCGAGCAAACGAGAAAGCGCTGTAGCCTCTTTATGCTCTTGGCAGCCAGTTCCTGTTGTTTTTGCACCAGTGCAGCTTCCAGGCCCTTTTCAAAGCAGCCCCACAGAAAGCAAATTGCAATGGGCCAACCGCTCCTCAGAGCTTCTGGATCTCCCCAGCCTCTGCCCCCTCCTCCTGATCTCACCAAGGTCGGGATGAGGGGGCGTCCACTCTGGATAGCCCCAAGGGAGCTGTCCACAGTGCTGGATCCTCTCCCCCAAAGCCGTTCGACATCGTGGGTGTCCAGAACAATCCCGTTTTCCCCAGAAGTCCAGTGCAACACTGAAAAGCTGAGAGCTGAGTGAACACTTCAGTGCCAAAGGCCACCTTGGATATGGATCAATCCACTACAGCCTGCCAGGCGGAGACGACTATTTTAGGAGCCGATCTATTTGAAACCGAGAAGGCGCTGTGAACGGGCATGACTTGCAGTAGCGATGCCGCTTCCTCAGCACCGCTCCTGGCATGGCATTCCACAGTCCTGCACCATCACCGAGAGGGCCCCAGGTCGGCCCCCTGCCTTGCAGGAGGAGACTGCTAGCCCGGTTTCATTGCATTTATTGCATTCCCATACTGTCCAATAGCCAAAGTTCTCCAGGCAATTTGCAGCATGAGAAAACACAGTGTAAAGCCTTGGACGTTACAGAACCTAAACAGCTGCAAAACAGGTTGGAAAGAATCAACCATTAAAAGCATCAGGGTGCGATTTTTAAAAAACACCCTAAAACGCCTTATTGCAGGTTGCCAAATGTCTGGGAATAGGGGAAAGGCTTAATCTGGTGCTGGAAGGATGTCAGTGCTGGTACCAGGTGGACCTCACAGAGGAGGGAACTGCGCAGGCAGAGGGGCCAATACCAGGAAGGCCCTTTCCATTGTTGCCATGCTCCAAAATTCCCCCCAAGGAGGCACTTGACGTGCACAGAAGTTCTGCTTCTGACTCTTCTCCCTCCGGTGAGCACCATGTGCTGTACAAAGAGCTTATTCCTTTTAAACCTCAGAACGATTCTCCAGATGAGAATTAAGATGAGAAAGAGCAGCTTGCCTAATCATGAAATTACACTTCACACATACCTGTGGAATTGAATCACAGAATCAGACAGTTGGAAGGGTCCTAGCAGGCCATCAGTCACAACTGCCTGCTCAGTGCAGCTGGCCAGTTACCCATCCAGGTATCAACCCAGCCGGACCCTGCTTAGCTTCCAAGATCAGCCTAGATCAGGCACTTCAGGCTATATGGAAGCTGAAGCCAAAGCTTGAGCCAAGTCTTCCTTACAAACGTAAGACTACAGTGAAGTCATGTGAGCTGCCTTCAGCTTCTCTGCACACCCCTCCCCCAAATCTGCTAGAAAGAGCTTCCCCAACTCTCCAGAGCAGATTTGGGGGTGCAGGGGGAGCTGCTCCACCACCCGTCTCTCCCATGGACAGACACCCTTAGATCCAGCCCATTTCTATCTCATTTTCCTTTCCCAGACAGTGTTCCGCCAGGCATGGCTTGTGATTATGCAATATATAAGAATCAAAATCCCAATAAAAAATGAATCCACGCTCGCCAACAGGAGTGGTGCTAAATACGAAAAAGATTCAGGTGCACAGGTGAAAAATGCACATATCGGCATATGCTAATTCACAAATGCTCTAAAGTGTGTGTGGGGGGAAGCAGGGGAACATGTGCACATCATTAAAGGACTCTGCCTCCTAAGAACACCCCTGTTTGTAAAAATTGGTGCATGGCCAGGAGAGAGGGTGGCACTGGATTTCAGAAAGCTCTCAGACACGAAGGTTCAAGGGGGGTGGGCAGCAAGAGGTGATGCACATGAAGGCAAAAAGCCAACCGGTCCAGAGGGATCTGATGCAACCCAGACCCCCAGGGCCCCTGCCCCTATTTCAGCAAGAGCCCAAGGACAGCAGGGTGACAGGGAAGATGGTTTTCGAGAGAATCGAGGCTCCGGCCCGAGTGGCCCACTGCCTATTAGGGCTCATGCTCCCCAGACTACAGCTTTCCCCAGGCAAACAGGGAGAGCCAAGGCGAGCATCCTTCAGTGCCATGGGGCACCTCCTTAAATATTTCCCTAACTAAAACGCAGAGTCACTGCATCAGCCCTGGATTGCTGCTTTGCTAAGATGCATTGCATTCCTCTTTGAAGTCAGTACTTTGAAAAGTGCAGCTATACACTTGCATTAACATACGCACATCTCCGTGCTCTTTTGGGAGGCAGCAATGTGATTGCTCTTTTGTTCGTGATGTGCAAGGGGCCATCTGGGCCAGGATGCCAGGGCAAAATCAAAGGAAATACCTCAAAGAATCCAGCAGATTAGGAAAGGATCCAGGATCAGGCTGGGTAGATTTGATGGAAGGGCAGAAGTGAATCTGGTGTGTCACTCCGGACTTTTGTGATGTTTTAGACCCAAATATCTGATGCACAACATTATTCTACTGGCTGCTCAGTGAACCCCAAACTAATACCATAAGCCCAGTGACCTGTGCCGGCTGTGCATGATGGGAGTTGTAGGCCACAGCATCTGGAAGGCTGAGAAAGGATGCTCCAAAGCACAATAGCTGCATATTTGTCAGTCGGAATTTCCTAGATCAAACCAAAACTTGCATTCTCCACTCCTGCACACGTCCACTGTTCTTTCTGCAGCTGCCTTTGAATATTGTTTTGCCATCTGGAGATTATGCTTGAAATTGGACCATGGATCTAAAACTGTGAGCTAATCTCTTATTTGGCTCCTGCAAGACAATTCAGCTTTGCTATGTTTCAATAAAAACCTCCTTCAGTTCAGCAGCTCAAGGCTGGGGGGAGGGGGTCCTATTGTCATTCCACAAAACCCTCCACCATTGTTTATTGAGACTGATGTTATTTTGTGCCCAGTGATTTAACTATTCATCTGCCGTATGTGGAGACTAAATATTCTTCTGGTTGAACCATTTTTCCAAGTGGTGATACATTTCAGGGTGTGGTGCTTACCTGGGTTTACTTCTTTTGGAAGGAAGTCACCAGAGGCTACCTGATGTCCTTTAGATAAACATGCTGAGCATAGATGGAGAAATGGATTAAACACTCCAACGTGCAGCTAAAGTCCACTGCTCTCTCATCAAGTCTCCAAGGAGACAGCTGGCCCCTGGAGATGCTTACGGATACCCCAAGTCAACTCTCTGGCTGGGTTCCCACAACAGAACAAGCAACCTTGGAGTAATTGTGGACAACAGGCTAAATAGGAGCCAACAATGTGATGCAGCTACAAAAAGGGCAAATGCTATTTTGGGACACATTAACAGAATTACTGTTTCCAAATCACGAGTAGTACTTCCCCTATACTCCTCACTAGTCAGACCTCACCTGGAATAATGTGTCCAGTTCTGGGCACCAAGATCGAAGAAAGATGCAGAAAAATTATAAAGGATCCAGAGGATGGCAACAAAAAGGATCCAGGGCTTGGAAACACTGTCCTATGAGGAGAGACTGAGAGAACTGGGCATGTTCAGCCTTGAGAAGAGAAGACTGAGGGGGACATGATATCCCTCTAGAAGTACCTCAAAGGCTGGCACGAGGAGGAAGGTCAAAACCTCTTCTTGCTCATGCCAGAGTGTAGGACACGGAATAATCAGTTCAAGTTGTGACAACCCAGATTCAGGCTGTACAGCAGGAAAAGCTTCCTCACTGTCAGAGCAATGGAACCAGCTGCCTGGAGAGGTGGTGGGTTCTCTCACACTGGGGACATTCAAAAAGAAACTGAACAGCCACCTGAGTGGGATGGTGTAACTTGGTGTCCTGCAACAGGAGGGGCTTGGACTTGATGGCCTTCATGGTCCCTTCCGACTCTACTACTCTATGATCCTATGAGTCTAACCCT